AGAAAAGGGTCCAGACCCGAAACATCAGCTTTCCTGCTCCTCTGATGCTGCCTGGCCTGCTGTGTTCATCCAGCTCTACACCTTGTTATCTCTGTTTTCTCTGAGTCTTATGTGTTATCGTTTCACCATCCTGTGCAATTTACAGAATTGTAGTAATGATTTCAGTGCCACCAATAACCATGTTGAAACTGAGCCCCTACTTGTCAATGCTGAAGCTAAAGGAAAGCACGTAATTATGGCTATAGGGATTGGTTTAGCAGGTCTGACTGGACCACATGAAGCACTATGGTGTCCTGATTTTATCTGCAGAAACTGCTCACTATTTTAGGATCATCCTGGAATACATAGGTAGCCCCAAGCTTCTTTTCTCCACTGCAGTCATCCTAAACCCTTACCACATGTCTCCACCATATTCAAAAGTAAGTGCAAGGATCTCAAAGCTTCCATTGTCACCAAGATTGATATTATATGATCAGATGTCTCAGCCACTTCTCTTCCAATTACTATGGTCCACCAGGTTCAATATTCTGTAAGACTACCCCTCGCCCTAGCCCTGAACTTGTATCTTTCTTTCATATCTCTCCTCTTTCCCTCACTGATCTCAGCTTGTCTATAAAACCCTCTTCCTAATCTTTTCACATGTTCCACTAAAGTACTGACCTTTCCTTTCTGGCTCCTATATTAGCCAATGTTGTTAAAATGACACATTTTCAAATAACACAAAACTGGGTGTGAGTGAGCTGTGAGGAAATGCAGAGATGCTTCAGTGTGATTTCAACAAGTTGAGAGAATGGGCAAATGTAGATGAAATATAAAGTGGATAAATGTGACATTATCCATGTTGGTAGCAAAAACAGGAAGGTAGATGATTATCTGAATGGTGATAGATTGGGAAAGGGGGAGGTGCAATGAAACCTGGATGTCCACCTACACCAGTTGCTGAAAGTAAGTATGCAGGTGCAGCAGGCCATGAAGAAGGCAAATATTATGTTAACCTTCATAGTAAGAGAATTTGAGTACAGGAGCAATGACACAATTGCACAGGACATTGGTGAGACCACTTTGGAATATTGTGTGCAGTTTTTTTCTCTCCTTATCTGAGGAAGGATGCCTTGTCAATGAAGGGAGTACAATGAACATTTATCCAACTGATTACTGGAATGGTAGGACTGATATATGGAGACTAGATCAGCTGAACTAAGTTCAGTGGAGTTCAGAAGAATGAGGGGGCTGTCTTATAGAAACCTATAGAATTCTAACAGAAATGGACAAGGATACAAGAAGGATATTCCCAATGAATAGAGGGTCCAGACCAGGGGTCACAGTCTAAGGATATGAAGTAAGGACATATCTAAGAACACTTAGGTCTGACATTAGGAGAAATTTCTTCACCGGTAGGGAGTGAGCCTCTGGAATTCTCTGCCACGGGCAGTATCTGACTGATTCTTTTGGACAGTCTCGTGGTCATGCAACACCTATTTCCCTGCATGCCCCCAACTTATGGTTTGACCATTTCTCTGAACGTGGATGTAATTCGCAGCCAAATGGATATAGCATAGAGACTCCAGCCACCACTCGAGTTCTGAAACTTGGAGATCATGTTTCTGTGGCCAGTGATACTTCTTGCACATGGGAGTAACCTAGGCCATGTGAAGTATGCATGGGTCATAGTGATGTATCCACAATTCCCCACATGCCACAGGAAGAGCATTCCACATGGCTGAGTTGCCCTGCCATAACCTAAGCATACTTTTGTACCACTTACTGAAAAATTAAGATTAAAGATTCATGAAATTTCAATCATTCTGATTATTTTTTGAAACTCAGCCCTTTCATGAAGCTTCTCAACTCCTGGTCTCGTGGAGGCTGATGAAGACAGAAAGAGAAAAAGAAATAGAGAGAAAGAAAGCAACTTCTTCCTTTCCTCCTTCAACTCCCTTACTCACCAAACTCTCAGTAATTCCATTCTGTCTCATTGCATCCTGTGTACTGCACTTTACCTGTCTTATTTATACACTGGGATTCAGACAGTCTGCTCTCCAGCAGTTACAAAACCAGTTACTTAAGTTACTTAATTAGTTGATCTCACCTCCTCTCCAGCAAAGTACTTTTAAACACACCTAAGCCTGGAAGAAACTAACAATTTAAAAGCAGTAAATTAAAGAATGACACTAACTACAAACTTTATTGTGATTGAGTTATCAAAAAACCAATGTTTCTCAGGTTTCATAAGTACAATGTCTTTCTATGCTCCCTAATAGCACTCTTCTGCGCCTACTTAGGAGAAGCCCTCATGAACATTATGTCTGTGGTAAGTCACTTTCATTAATTATCAAAACTTAAACAAATCGACATTTACAGTGAAAGAGAATGTGTCATAGTTTGGAATTGAGCACAATTTTATGAAATGTACCTGATTTTTGTGGTGGAGCTTAAGAAATAAATGTTGATGAAGACATTAAGATATTTTCCTGTTTTTGAAGAGCACCATAGGATTTTTTATTCCATCTAAGAGGGCAGAGGTTGTTTTTGTTTTGTTTCATCTTTGAAAGCTGGCACCTCTGACAATACATTGCACCCTCAGTACCGTACTGAAGTAACAGATTGAGCTATGCACTCAAGACTCTGGAATGGGACTTAACACACAACATTCTGAATAGAGTTACACTTGATGCCAAATTCTTTCAGAAACGTGCAGGCCTGGCATTCCACAGAATCAGCTGGAGTGAAAATGGAAGCCAGGACCTGTTTTCAACATGCCTAATTTCATCAGTTTTAAGGAGTGGTTCTGAGGAAGGGTCACCAGACCCGAAACGTTAACTCTGATTTTTTTTTCTTCACAGATGCTGCCAGACCTGCTGAGCTTTTCTAGTAACTTCTGTTTTTGTTTTAAGGAGTGGGCTAGTTTGTGTCACAAGCTTGTACTCCACACTCCCAACCTGGCCAGCTCCACATTTAGAACAGCCATGGTATTGTAATGTGCAATTTTCATGGTGATGGGCCAACTTGTCCATAAGACATATGTCCCATAAGACAAAGGAACAGAAATAGGCCATTCAGCCCATCAAGTTTGGTCTGCCATTCTGTAAGATTACAGCTAATCTGATAATCCTCAATTCAATATTCCTGCCTTATCCCCATAATGCATGATATCTTTACTGACTCAACATCTATCTATTTCAGCCTTGAATATGATCAATGGTCCAGCCTCATCAGCCCTCTGTAGTAAAGAGTTCCTCAGATTCAACACCATCTGAGAAAAAGAATCCCTCCTCTTCTCTGCCTTAATTGTTGTCAGAGTGAGGGTCTTCTACATCTGAGCCAATCCTCTATCCACATTAGTAATACTACCCCGAGACCATGGATACTTGTACTACTGAATAGCCTTTTGCGTGGTACATTTGGAAATCCAAATATATTACAACTACTCATTCTCCTTTATCTATCACACTTGTTACCTCCTCAAAGAAAATAAACTCTAATAAATTTCTTTTGCATGATTTCCCATTTGTGAAGCCGTGCAACTCTGCTGGATTTTATTATGCATTTCTAAATACCCGGCAGTTGCGTATTTTAAAATAACATTTTCCCACTGACAGATGTTAAGCTAACTGGCTTATAATTATCTTTTTTTTGTCTTGATCCTTTTTAGAATAAGGGTGTTACATTAACCGTTTTTCAATCGTCTTAGACTTTTCCAAGATTCTTGAAAGTTTACCATCAGTGCGTCCATTAAATGTGTAGCTACTTCTTTTACAATCCTAGGATGCAATTCATCAGGTCTGGAGAACATATTGGCCTTTGGCCCTGATAGTTTCTCTCATACTTTTCCTCTATAGTTATTGTTTTGATTTCATTTCTCCATCCTTTTTTTAGCCCTTTGATTATTTAGTATTTTTGGAATGCTGTTAATGTTTTCTACTGTGAAAACTGATGCAAAATTTTTATTCAACTTTTTATTATTTTCCCAGTCACATCCTCTAAGGACCCTTTGTTCACTTTGGTGTCTCTCTTCCTTTTTATTTAAAGAAGCTGTTACTCTATTTTTTTTTAATATTCCTAGATTGCCATCATGGTTTATTTTCTTCTATTTATTATTTTACTTTGTCTTTTCTGACTTTCGAACCTTTCCCAAATCTCTGGATTACCATTAATCTCTCCTACATTATATGTTCACTTCTTTCAACTTGACACTCTCTTTAACTTCTCTGGTTAACCAGAATCAATCTATCCATGCAAGCCCTTTAAACCCCTTTATTTTATGTCAGTAAATGTTGTGCAATTGACAGAAGAGATTAGAGAGCCAGGATTGTCAATCAAGTACTGGAACTCAGCTGTTACAGCAGTCTAATGGAAGACTAGTCTCTCAACCGAGAATGAAATTGTAGTTTGACTAAGACCGCAGATGCAGGGAAGTTATATAAAAACAAAATACTGTGTATCCCAGAGAAATGCAACAGTTCTGGCAGCATTTCTGGAGAGAAAAATAGAGGTAACATTTCAAGTTGAGTGTGAACTTCTTCAGAACTACAGACTATTTATGTTCAACTTACCTAAAGGTTTAGTTGGGCTCAAACTAGATATTGTGTCCAGTTCAGTCACCGCATTTTCAGATAGGTGTTAAGGGGGACAGAGGAGATTTGCCAAAGTGATTCGAAAGATGGAGGTTTTTAATTACAAGATTAGGTTAAAAAGGCTGGGATTGCCTCTTTGAAGCAAAGGAGATTGAGGGGAGATTTGATAAAAGTATACAAGATAATGAGATTTACAAGTTTAGATAAGGTAAACAATGAAAAACATTTCCCATTAGCTTATTGTGCAAGAAGAGGGGAATAGAGAATTAGGATACTGGACAAGAAATGCAGGAAGAGTGTGAGGAAGGACTTTTTTTAGTGCAGTGAGTCATAATTACATGAAAGTCATTGCACATGAGGATAGTGGATGTGTAAATAATTAAGACTTCAAAAGAAATTGGATGGGCATTTGAAGGAAGTAAACTTGCAGGACAAAGGGACCAAGGGCATAAGAGAGATTCACTACAATGCTCCACAAGGAGCTACCATACTCTCGATGGTTTGAATAGCTTCCTTATGTGCTTTAAGTGGCTCTATAGAAGGTGTTGAACAAACACTTCATGTCCGTCCTTTTTTCTCTATTTTGAATCAATCTGTTCAAATATGTCATGACACGTCTGGAGCTGGTGGGACTTGAACCTAGGCCTTCTGCTCCAGAGTAGGGGCACTACCAATGTGACACCAAATCCCCGTATTTGTCTTTATTAAACAAGTCATTAATTAATTAAAACAACATTCAATTAAACAATTAAATTAAACAAGATGTTGCCAATGTAAAGGAGAATGGGGTTAAAAGGACCAGACGGAATAAAAATAGTACTCCGAGCGGAAGAGTCATCTGTTTCCATTGGGATGCATCCAAGGTGACTCAGTACGCAATTATGAAAATAATGAAGGCATTGGCCACAATCTTTCAATCCTCCCTAGAAATGGGAGCAGAGCCAATTAGATCAGAAGCAATATAAATGTTACACCAATCTTAAAGGTCAGAGAGATAAACCCGGAGACAATGGACCAGTCAGCCTGACATCAACGCTGATAAAATTTCAATAAAATTCAGGGGAAAAAAATCATTGAGAGTTGGGGTAATAAATAACAACCAGCTGAATTCATTAACTTTAAACCATGTCTGACAGACATCATTAAACTAGGAAGCTTGTTGCTGAAGGTACCATGATTGATGGATTCAATTTGATACTATCTTTAACTTCCCTGGTTAACCAGGGTCAGTTTAATTCCTTCCTAGAATCTTTCTTTCTCACTGAGATACCTTTTTCTGTGAGTCATGAACTATTTTGTTAAATGCCTGCCATTGTTCATAAACTGTCTTTTCTGCTACACATCTTTCCTAATTCAGTCCAGCCAACTCTGCCCTCATTTCCAAGGCTGGCTCAAGGTTCTCCCTCAGACAGAATGCTAAATTCCCCCACATTACAGTCACTGTTCCCTTGGGCTCTGACAAATTCCGGTGATAGTACTGAGGACTTGTGTTCCAAAACTTGCTGCACACACTAGCCAAGCTCTTCCAGTGCAGCAACAACACTGGCATTTACTTGACAATATGGAAAATTGCCTAGAAATGTTCTGTGCACAAAAAGTAGGACAATTCCAACCCAGCCAATTATTGCCACAACAGTCATCTTTTAATCATTAGTAAAGTGACAGAAAGTGTTATCAACACTGCTGTCAAGCAGCACCTGCTTAGCAACAACTAGGTCACCGACACCCAGTTTGGGTTATACCAGGGCCACTCAGCTCCTGATATCATTACAGCCTTGGTTCAAACATGGACAAAAGAGCTAAATTCCAGAAGTGAGGTGAGAGTGACAGCCCTCGATATCAAGGTTGCATTCAACTGAATGTGGCCTTAAGGAGCTCTAGAAAAACTGGAATCAATAGGTGTCAGCTGGCAAACTCATCGCTGGTTGAAATCATCCCTAGCAATAGGATGATGGTCATGGCTGTTGGAGGTCAATCATCTCAGCTCCAGGATATTTCTGCGTGAGTTCCTCAGGGTAATGTCTGAAGCCCAATCATCTTCAGCTGCTTCATAAACGGCCTTCCCTCCATCATAAGATCAGAAGTGGGGATGTTCACCCACGATTGCACAATGCTCAGCACCATTTGTGATCCCTCAGATATTGAAACAGTCCATGTTCAAATTCAACAAGATCCAGACAATATCCAGGCTTGGGCTGACAAGTGGCAAGTAACATTTGTGCCACACAAATGCAAAGTAATGACCACCTCCAATAAGAAGCAATCTAAACACCGCCCCTTGACAGTGAATGGTGTTACCCCATTCAATGAATGATTTTATTGTCACATATATCTAGAAAGATACACCATAATGAATTGCAAAAAGAATAAAAAGAAACTACTTAAATAGAGTTAATCTTCTGTTCAAATTGAGTCTCAAGCACAGCTCCAGGGAATCTACAAGGTCTATGCAGGGTGTTCCGGGCCTCAAGAAGTCACCTTTCCGGGTACAACAACAACGACACTGATGCCCCAGGAGACTTCGGCTCTGTGGCCGCTGCCACCACCTCGCCATCACTGCCAAGAGTGCCCAGTCAGGGCTTACTGTCCAGCACCAAATCCCTCACTATCCATATTCTGGGGGTTAGCGTTGACCAGAAACTCAACTGGACTCGCCACGTGAACACAGTGGCTATAAGAACAGGTCAGAGGCTAGGAATACTGTAGCAAGTAATTTACCTCTTGACTCCCCAAAGCC